ACCTAGTCCGGAGTCCATAGTATGCATGATCATTTTCAGTTGCGAATAGCCCAGGGCAAAAGTGGAGATACCACAACTGATTAGCACACGTTTGGTCAAAGGATCGCCTTCACTTGTCTATTTGACGAGTTGTTGTGTGATACTAAGAATTTTGAGACTTACTGACGATGCCGATTACGATGTCGGCCAAACGTCTGTTAATGTACCACGTCCACGTTCCGACTTTGGAAATAATGATGCATACAATAAACTCCGGACTAGATGCGTTCCTCTAAGTCTTCTTACCAATATGACCGAGTTGCGAAAACAAGTTTAAACAACTTCTATACAACGAAAGGAGACTGCCACCACACATAAGGCCATACCATCTTGGTCTTCATACCTTCAAAGTATTTTGTATTTGAAAATCTTGATATTAGCTGTATTTATGTTTTTGACAAACCTTAGCGAATAATTATCTTCTATGATCTCTTAAAGCATTCTGCCATACTCATTAAGGCACGGAAATTTTTTACTTTCAATTTTATTTTACTATATACGATACTAAGTACCTTATGGTCTATTTCAAGGTATTTAATCTCTCCAAAGAATATTAACTCCAGCTTGACGTATCGAGGTCATTGAATTTGCTAAATACCTATGTTCTCTTTTCTAGAAAAATACTCACTTTCTTCAAACAAACAATTTTCCCTTAATTTTTTTTTCGTCACTATCTTTTTTTTTAATTACTACTAGTTGGGAGATAATAGACATGGTGCGCTTTACATCAACGGAAAGGGCAAAGCAAGGAGAAGAAGAGGGTACTGCTAAATTTGCTCGCGGTAACCGGTTAACAATGTCTGAACAGATTAGATGCTATCGCGAAGAATGTCAGCGTATTTTTGACTTGCAGAATCGCGTCCTTTCAAACGCTGAGCTTTTGAGTTCCGATGAAGAGGTCAGTAGTGATGAAGATGAGGACGACCTGACTGCTCCGACTGGCACTTCATCTTCATCTGGAGGAACAACTGGTGTGGTTTGCCCTAGCATCGGCTCTTCCACTGGCTCTATAGGGATGGGATCATCCACAGGACTCGCTGCAATTATGGCAGGAAACCGCCAAGCAGGCCAGCAGCCCAAGCATCGTCAGGAAGAGTCTGATCGTGAGCATCTTACTAAGTCTCTTGAATTCGGAGTAAGTATTCCTTCACTCAGAGTAATAGTGAGACTATTCCTTAGAACAATGTATTTAATTTAGAACATTATTCTACCCACACTTGAGTCTTTCGGCTATCACAACCTACGAAGTCGGGGCAAATCCTTTCATATCGAAGATTTCTATTGCCCTATCTTTTGTATTATTATGCATAACAGTCGTAAAATAAGGCATTTTTTCAATGAAGAGAAACCGTGTTTCGAAGTATTCCTTAGTAGAGGCA